CGTGTCTGTATGTGTGGGAGGTCCGCGGAGTGGGGCTGCAAGCGCCGAGGCTCGCTAGCTCGCCCGGAGAGACGGCCCGCGTGTCTGTATGTGTAAGAGGTCCGCAGAGTGGGGCTGCAAGCGCCGAGGCTCGCTAGCTCGCCCGGGGAGACGGCCCGCGTGTCTGTATGTGTGGGAGACGTCCGCGGAGTGGGGCTGCAAGCGCCGAGGCTCGCTAGCTCGCCCGGAGAGACGGCCCGCGTGTCTGTATGTGTGGGAGGTCCGCGAGGTGGAGCTGCCGAGTGCCGAGGCTTCTAACTCATTCGCGGAGACAGCTCACGTGTCTGTATGTGTGAGAAGTCCGTAGTAGTACAGTCCCTATTCCCCTGTGAGGGATTAGGCACGACCGAGAAAGATCGTGCGTGTGAGTGTAATACTCATTTCCCCCGCTGAAGACACTCTAAAAGATGGGACAGAGAGAAAGCAAGCCCTCTACATCCATGGGAGGGGAGCCCCAAATGAAGCTCCCAGACATCCCTCCTGATAGTCCGTTGAGACAGCAGCTTATACATTGAGCTGACGACCCTCGAACCAAGAAGAAAAGTAACATTACAATGATAAATTACTATATGCTAGTTTAAGAGAAGAAGAAAATCAAGTCAAATTCTTTGTATTGGCCCATATTTAGGTCAAATGAAGAATCTGTGTGCCAAGCTTTAAATATTTGAGTAAACAGTAAAAACCCCTTCATTCAAGAAGAGAGTGATTATGCTGCTCTCTGGCTCCCTAACACCGAAGGAGCAGGGGTGTTTGTGCTAAAAAAAAATAAACGTAAGCACTCTGATGATGCACCCCCACCATATGTGCCGCTCACTCCTACGACTCCATTAGATCAAGCACAAGGGGGAGAGGCTGGGCCACTATCCCTTGGGAAACAGGGAGATTCCTCATCTGAAGAAAAAGATAACATTCTGCAAGGACCAGTAACCCGGAGCAGAGCCCGCAAGTTATACCCCCTAAAAGAAGTAGCTATAAAAATGATAAATCAACAAGGGGGTGGGCAGGCACCCAGTATAAGATATGTGGCAGTCCCTTTAAATTCTGTAAATGTCCGCGAATTTAAAAAAGAAATGGGACATCTTTTAGAAGACCCTCTTAGAGTAGCAAAAAGAGTAGATCAATTCCTAAGACCTAATATCTATACCTAGGATAAGTTGCAATCCATTTTAAGAATACTCTTCACAGCAGAAGAGAGACGCATGATTCGAACTGCAAGCATGCGTATCTGAGAAAATCAACACCCACAGGGTCCCATGAGTAATACAAAATAGCCACTACATCAGCCCAATTAAAACAATCAAAATCCACAAGATCAAGCTAACATACAAAACCTAAGAACCATTATAGTACAAAGAATAAGAGAAGCAGTGCCTAGAGAGCAAAATATGAGTAAAGCCTTTAATAATAGTCAAAAGAAAGATGAAGACCCTACCACC